ACTCGGCTGGCCCTTGACCCCCATTTTACAGATAAAAAATATAAGCCCAGATCTCACAGCACCCCAGGGGCACAGCCAGGACTTAATACTCTTGTCTCGGTATTTCTCTCAAGACATGATGGCCTTTCCACTCTCTTTTACTGTTTTTCACTTTTAACTCCTTCCTTTCCTTCTTTCCCCCCAGTGGCTCTGATCCCTGCACACTCTCAATTAACAGATACCTGTCCATAGATCTTCTTGTTCCCTCAGAAAAGGGCCCCCAACTACTCCAAAGCCTGGTTGGGCTTTGGAAGTTCTCTGTTCCTCCCCACTCCAGCTGACTGAGTTGGGGTCCTGTCAGTGCCTTCTAGTTTCTTACTCTCCAGCCGTGATGCCAGGTTGGTCCAGGCCCTGCGAGCTGCTGGGCCTTCCTTCTCAGGCTCAGCCTGGAGCTCCAAGTCCTCCCAGGCATTGTTGCGAGCTCTGTAGAGTTCCGGACCATAGAGACACTGAGAGGGTCTCTGTCCTTTAAGAACCTTCAGACAGTTGCTTTCCTCCTTTTAGTGGGGGAGTGATCGGCAGTCACAGAGGATTTTGTCAGAGTTTAAAAAGGAACCTGACTGGTCTACTGACTCTCTGTGTAGCCAGAGATTTGTTTTCTTTTCCCAGTTTTTAGAGCTATTTATGAGAACCATATTAAAAAAAATAGAAACGCATTGGTCTAATGTATGGTTAAGAACATGAACTCTGGAGCCCAAATACCTGGGTTTCTGTCATTGCCCATCAGTTACTAGTGCTTTAACCTTGGAAATGCCCTAACCTCTTTGCCTCAGTTTCCTAATTTTCTCATCTGTAAAATGGTGATGATGATAGCATCTACCTCTTTGGGGTTTTGTACAGATTGAGCAATGTTAGGAGCTCAGCACAGTGCCTGGCCATGGTAGGAGCTCCGTGAATGTTTGCTGCTGCTGACCTTGGAGGAGAAATGAGACACAGGTGGAAGGAGAGCTCGTGGGATCATTTGCTGGGAGTGGGGCAAAAAAAAAAAAAAAAAAGTCCCTCCCCTCACCATTGTGTGAACAGGGACAGATGTTCCTAGCGATGTCAGGTGAAGCCTTGTGTCTAGGACTCTCAGCTGCCCCTCATCCCTTTGGCCTCTATCCCCCAGGCCTCACTTTTCCTTCTTTTCCCTAGCCTCAGGGTGGGCAGGCTAAAATCTCTCACCAAAAGAGAATTCCCATTGAGTAGGAAGTTTTACCTATAGCTCGGGTCACATTTTATATTCATGGTTTTTGGAGGAGGGGGGTGAGAAGGAGGGTGTTGGCTAGATCAAAGTGAGGATTGTTAACCAGGAGCCCATAGGTGCACTTCAGAGTGTCTGAACCCACTAAAATTGTTGGCACATTTTTGTGTATAATTATGCATAGTTGAAGATTTCTCGTTGGAGATTTCGTTCATGGCTTTTATCATACTCTCAGAGGACCCACAAAAGGCTAAGAGTCACTGACATACAAGTAGTCAGGAAAGTGTTTTTCAGGTACCATTTAGCGCTTTAGCAACTCTTAAACATTTGTTCTCCAGATTTCATACATGCAGAAAAGTTGAAAGAATATACAGTGCTCACCCAAGTTCTTGCTTCCTACTTTTTTTTTTTTTAAAGAGTTTTATTGGGGAATTGGGGGGATGGGAACAGTGCTGGGGAATTGGGGAAGGGGAACAGACAAGTTGCTGTCGTTTTTGTTCTTCAATCTAGTTGTGGAGGACGTTGCTTCACTTGCCCAAGTTGGCACCATCATTGCACTCTTCCCTGGAGAGGCAAATCAGTCGCTGGCTTCTGGACGGCCGCTCACTGCGGCTGCTGGCCGCTCACGCTGGCTGCTGGCTACACACGGTAGCCCATGGCAACCCACTGCCACAGGGACTGCAGCCTACGCCGTCGCCGGCGACTCACGGCAGCCCAGCTCCAGGTTGAGCTGTTGTTCAGCATCTTAGCTGTGGAGGGCAGTGTTCACTGGCCCTCATATGTGGGATCCGAACCGGGGCCCTCTGGCATCCCAAGCGAGTTCTCAACCATCGCGCCACTTGGCCGGCCCTCTTGCTTCCTACTTTTGATAGTTGCATTCACCATATTTATTTGTGTTCTCTCTCTCTCTCTCTCTATATATATATATATATAGATAGATAGATAGATAGATATAGATATAGATATATATGTACATAGATATATAGATATATCTATATATCTATCTATATATATCGGAGATGCCAAAAAATGTATACAAGTGGACACTTTGGTCAGTGTTGCTCAGGCATAGTTTACCAAAATCAGAAGTGTCTGGATGCTGATGGTAACCACTTTGAGCACCTCTTGTCATTGCAGAAGTCAAACATGACTTGAATTCATCTTTTGTTATCGGTATATATTGAGTATTACAATTTTAATACAGTTTTCCTTTCTTAAAATGTGCATACATTTTTTAGCACCCTCTGTATATACATATGCATATATATATCTGTATATACATATATATGACTTACAGTGTTTTGACTTATAATTTTTTGACTTTATGATGATGTGAAAGTAACATTCAGTAGAAACCATATTTCAGATTCTGAACATTGATACCCCCCTGGCCAGTAGTATGCTGTATGATGCTGTCATGAGGCTGCGCAGCTGCAGTGAGCCACAGCTTCCCGTCAGCCCCGGGATCACGAGGGTCGACAGCCAGTACTCTACAGTGTAGTAGTAAATGCATTTTTAATTATGATATTTTCAGCTTACAGTGGGTTTATCAGGATGTAACCCCATTGTAAGTGAGGAGTGTTTCCAGATACATACATGCACACATACACGTGTGTGTGTGTCCCCCATGAACCTTGGGAAGTAAGTGGTACACATCTTAGCACATCCTAAGGGTAAGGACATTCTCCTACGTATTATAACCACAATATTATCATCATACCTAAAAACCCACAAAAAGTTTCTACTGTAGTTTATATTTAAATTTCACCTATTGTCCCCAGAACATCTTTTCATGACTTGTTTTTTTCCAAGCTCAGATTCAGGCAGGTTCCCATGTGGTATTTAGCTCTGTTTCTTTAATCTCTTTTAATCTATAGTAGTCTCCTGCCCTCCCCCTTCCTTAATGACATTGATTTTTCAAAGAGACTGGGTTAATTGTTGGGTAAAATGTCTCATGTTTTGAATTTCTGAGTGTCTCCTTTTAGTATTATTCAATTTGTTCGTCCATCCTGTGCATTTCCTGTGAAGGCAACCATCTTCTGAGACTCCAACTCATGTACTAAGGTCCCTGGCATTCCTGACACACTCATTGTTGGGGGGTTTTTGCCGTGAGGTGCACAGTCTGACAGACATGTTCAGGACGCGGGGAGAGCAGCAGCTAATGTTCAAGGGAGTGACATTTCAGCTGTATCATCTGTGTCATAGTAGGGAAGGCAGGGACAGCCGTGGACAAGCATTGAGACCCGAGAGCAGTAATTCCAAAGTACTGTTGGGTGAGTGTCCCTGGGAGGTGCCAGGTGACAATCCTTGCAGACTGTTGGGAGCAAGTTGTGAAGGACCTTGAACTCTGGGCTGAGGAGATTGGTCCTGGAGGCTTTGGAGAGCCACTGGTGCACATTCTCGTCAGATTACAATTTTTCTCTATAGATTACACCTCATTTCCCATAATCGCACTCTCCTGAGAAAAGCACGTTTTGGTTTATTTTTTCCCTAGGGGTGTGTGTGTTTCAGGAGGATTTAAAGTTAGGTGTGACATTGGAGTTGTGTTAGAAAGACAGTTCTGGCCACTAAGTATGGGATAGATTCGAAGGGGTGGCCAGAGGTAGCAGGGAGATAGAGAAGAAAGCTCATGGACACAGGACTTTCAGGAGGTAAAGCCAGCAGAAGAGGTCAGCAGCAGGGTCAGGTTTGGAAGCCTGGCCGGATGGTGCTGTAATAAGCTCAACAGTGGCCTCCCTTCTCCCTGTCCCTTTTTGTCCTCTCCCTACCAGGGCTGGTAGGAGCTGTCACTCAGCCCTCCAGGGTCCCATGTGGCTCATTCCTTAGGCATGTGCCGTAGGTCCTGAGAAGGGACCCCCGGAAAGGGGGGGGCCACAGAAAAGGTGTGAGCATGCCACTGGACAGAGCAGGCCACCTCTTCTCAGCCTTTAACAGCCCCCTCCTCCATCTCTCAGACCCTGGTTAAGGCCGTAGGGAACCTTGTGAGGTGGGCATCAGTGCCCTGGTGTATGTGGAATGAGTGGAGCTGGCTCTCCAGGTTGCCAACCCAGACACGGGGCACTGCACAGGCCCAGCTCCAGCTGCCTCAGTCTGTGGATCTTAGGCGAACAGGGGGCCCTTTGTTCCTGCCGTGCGTCCAGGATGGTGAGTGTGCTCACTGCCCAAGACAAGTCAGCTCTTGAGGTGGTGAGTGGGCAGACATGCCAGTCCCCCTTTCTGCCCCTTCTCCTATGAGGGTCATTCTTGTCACACATCCATGAGCCTTTCCTTACAGATGAGGACACTGCAGATCACTTACGTCTGTGGGGTCCTTTCCCAGCCAGGAGGGTGGGCTGGTAAAGAAGGCTGCACTCCCACTCCTGTTTGGTGCCTCTTGCCTGCATTTGCTGTCAGGTTAGGGTTGTGGTTGTGGCCCCGGAACACAGCAGGGCCCAGTCCTTGAAGGAAGGCTTGTTTGGGGATTTATGGCCTGTTTGGGGCTGCTCAGTAGGATCCCATTTCAGCCAGCTCTATTCCCTGGCTTCCTGAGCCTGCTGAGTCCTGGACTTCGCAGAGAGGGACCGTCCGGTGAGGACTGGCCAGTCTTATTTTCCATTTTGCTCAGAGAAGAAGGCCCCATGGTCAGCATCTTGGTGCTGCCGGTTAATGAGTTCCCGGTGGTCCAGGAGGTGAGCTCGTGGTTGGGGGTCTGGGCTCGATCCTGAGCCCTGACTGGAGACTGTGGGAGCAGGGGAATCCCCTCTATCCGTGGTTTACCTTCGTTTTTTCCCCTCTCTAGTTTGTCCTGAAGAATTATGGAGAGAACCCAGAAGCCTACAATGAGGAACTGAAGAAGCTGGAGTTGCTCAGACAGGTAGGAGGATAGTGTTTTTATGTGGGTGTGAATAGGATTGGTTTGTAGGGAGGTAAACAAACCATCTGGAACTGTGTTCTTCTTTTTAAAAGCAAAATTAATGATAGAAAAATTTGAAAATACTAAAAAGCAAAAAAAAAAAAAAAACCAACCTCACAATTTTTAAAATATACTTAAAAATTTTGTTTATATATAATATATACAATAGAAAACCACAGTAGGATCATATACCACCCATACTGCTTTTTTTCACTTAGCTTGTGGCTATGTTTCTGTATCAGTGAACATACAACTGTAGTATTTTCAATGGCCTTTGGTGATTCCATTGCGCTGTAATTTAATCAGCCTCCTCTCAGAGCACATTTCCATTTTTCGCTATTGTAAATATGCCCCATGTCTCTGCATATTTCGGCCTTTATAGGATTGTTTCAGTAGGAATTAGTGGGTGAACTGGATGCTATTTGTTTTCATCTATACCCCCAGCAGGGTGGGGGCCTGCTCCTGCTGTTACTTTTCAATTCTGGCATTCTGATAGGTGAAAAGAGTATTTAATTTTAATTTTCAATTATTTGGTTAATAGTAAGGTTTCACAATTGTTAATGTGTTTGTTATATATCTTCTTTTAGGAATTGTCTGTTAATGTCCTTTGTCCATTTTTTTTTATTAGTGTTATACATTATTTCTTATTAATTTATAAGAAATTCATACATTAATGGTATTGCTTCTTTGTGTTATATGATGCAAATATTTTTCTCAGTTCATTGTTTTAGTTTATGGTGTTTTTTATGCAAACTTTTCAAGTGTTACGTATAAATATATAAGTATTTATAAACTAGGTCCATCTCATCTTTCCTTTTAACGTTATCTGCCTTTGATACACGTTTAGAAGACCATCACCCAAATAAGATGTAAGCAGTCACTGTATATTCTTCCTCTAGTACTTTGTGGCTTCGTTTTTTACTTGAATCTTTATATGGCATTTATTTAAGTATATGGTATGTCAGGGAAGGCTTGAACTGGAACTTTCTCTTCATACTTTTTCTTGTTTTGAAACCTCATATGCTGAATTCTTCTGTGTACTTCAGGTCTATTCCGCATTTCCTGTTTCCTTCCATCATCTGTCATCCCCTGCCAGGCCCATGGTATTTTATTTTATTTTATTTTAAGTTTTTTTTATTGGGGAATTGGGGGAGGGGAACAGCGCTGGGGAATTGGGGGAAGGGGAACAGACAAGTTGCTGTCCTTTTGTTCTTCAGTCTAGTTGTGG